ATATTTTGTTTATATATATATATAGTTATATATATACACACAAGTTTTCGTTTCTTATCTTTTAAGTTTAAATATGGAAACAAATACCATATTCATATATATAATATATATATATATATATATATATCATATATATATAAATATATAATATATAATATAACATGTTTTTTCATATGGGTAAAGTTTTTAATTACACATTATTATAGGTTTACCAATACAATTATTTCACAAAATGAAAATTTCAAAATTTTTTGGAAAATTCTTGTTTTGGGTAACATGGTTCAAAATCACAATTTTGCAAACGATTCCCAAGTGGTTTTTCATCAAGGTGTGTAAATTATTTTTTATTGTTAAGTTGATTTAGCCAAAAAATCATGTTTTTCTTGTTTCTCATTTCGTTATATGGTTTTACAAAACAGATATTTTCATAAATGTGAATGGTATCAAGGTGAAATCTTTCTTTGGACATTTTTATCTTACATTTTTAGAAAACTTTCCCTCAAACTTTTACTATTTGTAATAATTGGATTTTGATATTATTTAATGATTTTCAATAGCCGCAAAAACCTTTCATATGAAATATATCAAGATTCGGTCGACCGTGTCGGTTCTACCTCCAATGTATTTTTCCTTGGTTCATGCTTTTTTTGTCTGTCTACTGACCGGGTTGACGGTTCAACCTTGAAAACAATCTGCCAAAGGACTTTCTCGGTCGTTACTGCCTCGTCGGGGACCTGCAACTTATTTCTCATACGCCTGTTGTTTGTTGGCTCTCGGGTCGGAATCCCACCGGGTCGTGACCGGCCTGAACTTGGTCATTCACTTCCACAACGGCTAGTGTTTACAGCTGTTTTCAAATTGGTTTTTTCGTCTTTTACTTATATTTTTGCAGATGTATTGGGGTGCTATAAATACCCCATTGATGCTCTCCTTCTATATATCCAAGAAATCCAAGTTTTGTGTTTAACAAAATCTTAAGTGTGTTTAAGAGCTGTTTAAAGTTGATTTCTTCAATCTGTTTTCAAGAGAAGTTTTTCTACGACAAGAAGTGGCCTTCAAATCCTATTGGGATCATCATCTACTGTTCTTCTTGTTTGAGAAGTCTTCTAAACTCTTATATAGCTTGTTATTTCATTTTCATTTCATTTAGCTATATTTATTGAGTTTCATTCACTGTTATCACATACACATATTGAGCTTAATATCTTCATACCATATAGTGTGGGTTGTGAAGTGTGATTTAGTGAGTGTGAGCTTCATTGTGTTCTCACTTGTTATTTGAGAACAAATCATTGTATTTAACTTTTATTTGTGAGAATCACTTGTAATACACTTGTACACCGAGAGAAGTGTGAGACGAGAGACGGGGTCGAATCCAATAGGAGTGGCGTCGGTTGACGAACCTAGGGAGATGTTTTAACTGAGCACTGGAGGAGGAGGACACGGGGTAGGTTCCTACACTTAGTGTGTAAAGTGTGATTACATAGTGTTTGTGTAGTGTGAGAGTTTTCGGTGATCTTGTAAACCGAGTGTGTAGAAGTTCTGGCTTCTAAACCGGATTGTGATTGTGGATATCTCCTCGAGGTGAGGAGCGGGGACGTAGGTCGTGATGACCGAACCTCGTAAACATATCGTGTGTTTGTGTTTTGCTTAGCGTATATTCTTATTTGTGCTTATTCTTATTGTTCTTATTCATATCTATCTCTTGCAAGAATAAATTGATCTACATAATTTTTAATTGGCAATTAATTAGGATTAGATTAGCATAAGACCCTAATCACCCCCTCCCCCCCTCTAGGGTCTAACACATACGTATACGAATATGAATAGTGCTAAAGTTTTTGTTATATATCTTGAAAACAGTTGCATGCATTTTGGGATGTGGTCATATGTTTGTGGTCTATTGGATCATGCTTTTAGTGTGGTAATCAATTGTACATTTTAGACTTAGTTATATTCACATTTATATTATACTACAATTTGATTTAATTTTTTAATCAATGGCTATAATAAAATGTGAGGTCTACAAGGAAATTTTTAGCACTTTGTGTTTCAATTCTTGTTTTTTTTACTTTTGTGTAATCAACTGCATGTGATTTTTGATCTTGTGAAATTTGCTTAGGTTAGTATTGTTGAAATTTCATGAGGTCAAACTACCTCAAACAATTTTTTTCAAGTGATAACTTTTAATGTCCAATTAACAAGATCTTTTTTTGTCATATCTGAGTCGTATATGTTTTCCAGATATCCAATTTGTATAGGCAATCATATTTGTATCCAGTTCTCTAATATCTGAACCATGTCTGTGTCCATTCAATATGGATATGATTATGACTTTTTCTTACTGAAGTGTGTTAAATTTTTATCTATATTCATCTTTTAAAAGCAAATACAAAGTATCTTATCAAAAAATGCTCCCCTAGATTATGTACTTGTGGATGTGCACAACTTCTTGATACTGTCGTTGAGAAAGAAGAAAAGTAAGAGCAGAAATTGTTTCCTTGATCAATATTAGCCAATGATGAAATCTTTTACAATTGGGTTGTTCTATTCGTGGATTACACTCCAAGGATTTTGATGCGTGAAAAGAAGTTTGAAACATTCATGCTCAAAATTTTATTTGTTTCCAATGAATATTAAAGAGGATTTGTATCAAAAACGAAATTCAACTGAACTTTTTTGGTCATATAAGAATCATTTTAATCATTTTAAGAGTGTGTCACTAAAATTACAAATCTAAGTGAAATCAACATAATTTTTTTTTTCCTTCACGATCGAATCTGGGATCAGTTCGATTAGTTCTAAGCTTTCGGATTTTATTGTGTAGCTGCCGAGAAATGAGCCGAGTACTATGAATCTAGACTATTCTGCTGTGCTTCGAGTTGAGGTTCTGATTCCATGTTGTAGCAACTATCCGGGTGTGCGTACATCGCGTTTGAGCAGTGATTGTTGGGCTGACTCTAGCCATACGTATATGGAGACCACAAGCCAAAGCTCAACGGAAAGGGGGGAAAAAAAGAAATCCAAAGAATGTTCCAGATTATACCACCCTGTAGCAGAATTAGCCAGTCTAGCTTTATTGTAGTGCTCACCCACATCTAGAAAACTAGAGCATCTCTTAAGTGCACACTAGAACAGTCTACTGGGTTTTCAATCATTAACATGATTATGTGTCCACTTTTCAATTATTAAGAAAGAAGCGTCTCTCCACTCTCCAAGCACAAACTTGTAGTAGAAACCGAAAATATTACACATAGCTCGTCACGGCCTCATCTTAATTCATGCATAAAGCCCAATCTCCAAGGAAAATCGAACATGGTGATTAGTGTTGGATCTGAGATGCAAGTCTATAAGAGACCGAGGACCGAGTGTTTTTTTAGGGGGGGAGGTGAATATGTTTTTTACTATTTTTGGTAAACATAGAATATGCAGCAGAAGCATATTAAAATAAAAGCGAATACAAAACTAAAAACCAACCAGAGAACACACAAGATTTAATAGTGGTTCGGATAGAAATCATTCGTCCATTTTTCCTTCTCATGAAGGAGTTTCCAAAGACTGTACCCTGGAATCTAGCCGAAACCAGTTGTTCCTCACAGATGAGTAACACCTAGCCCTAGCTAGCCTTGGCCCTCAATTATCACTGGATTGATTACGTTGTAAACCCTTAATTAATACTAGCTTGAGTATGCCATAAAAACAAGTTTGAAACAAACTATAAAAAACAGTAAGCACAAAAATAAAGGATCTTACAGCCTTTTTGATAAGCAGTCTGTTCTACAAAATATTAAAGTGAAGCTTGATGAAGGACGATGTAGATCTTGATTCCAAGGGCAACTCCTCTTACTAAGATGATCCGCTGTAGTTGAGTGCAACGAGAAAGAATTTGTTGAGGCTTTGGGGTTTCAAATCACAAATTAATCTTCTTCTCTCAAACCCTATAAATTTCTCTTCTAAAACATGTCATTACCATCAATGGTTCCTCACGACCATCGATGTTTCCTTAAGCACAATCGATGGTTGACTGTAGATCATTGATGGTCTGATTTTGAGTTTTTGAAGGTCTACGATTGTGCATTGTACACCATCGATGGTTCACTGTAGACCATCAATGGTTCCAACACTGAAATCAACGTAAATGCTGATTTTTGCGTCGTTTCGCCTAGTAACATTGGTGTACTTATTTTTACCCGCACTATATCATCTCAAACAAATATTAGTACCAAATAAAAATTTGATATTATTCAAACAAGTTATATCATCTTAAACAAATATTAGTACCAAATAAAAATTTGATATTATTCAAACAAGAGCTATTATATACAAGCTTCGTCCTAACTAACAATTGGGACACGAGTATAACCTCCAACAAAGTCATATTCATGTGGATGTTATCTATAACTACAAAAAAGTTATATCTCAAATACGAGAAGATGATATCCAAAAAAGTTCGAAGCTGTCAACCAATGAGTTACCAATAACTCTGATAACACTTGTCGGCTTGGTGGCCTCAACTTTCCTGGATCACCTCATTTTCTCTTTAAACTGATTTCTCAAGCACAATGGCTCCTAGTGCTCACCATTTTCAGCGAATTCATGCTCTAATAGAAGAGCAATACTAGCATACATAATATAATTTAAAATGAGGATTATCTTATAACAATTACTTTAAAGTTCATATAGAATTCTGAGGCTGTGCAGTCATTTTCTCACAAAATATTTATTATTTTGAAGAAAACAATAGCAACAGTTGTATAACATCGCCACCAAGATCATCATTTTTTATAATTATATATCTGAATCCTACTCTTCAATTCAACGTAAATATTATTTAGAATTCGAGTTCATAGACATCTGATTAGATTTCACACTGGCCGTCAACTATATATTGTAACACTCCTCATTTATTCTAATTTGGAACAACAATATTGAACAAATTAGTGCAGAGCAAGTATGTATGAAAATTTGCTAAAGGTAAACATAATCAGATGTGGGAAAAAAAATCTACCTTTATAACTACAGATGCAAATTATGTTACACAAACACCCTTCTATCATTACATACAAAAAGAGAAAAACCAGATCAGCAAGCAGCCGCCGTAGCATTACCACCACTATTGCTCTTCTCAAGCCATGGCGACCCAAAAACTCTATCATCATCATCATCATCATCAAACAACAAAGTCGAGGACAACCCATTTTCCTGTACCTTATTCTCTTCAGACCCATCTCCTACAAAAACCAATTCATGCTCTCCTATCATCTCCATGTCTTCAACCATTAGCTCCCCTTCATCCTCTTCCATCGATGGCGACGTGGCAGGAGACGGAGGCGGCTGATCGGCCTCTTTGCTGTTCGCTGCTGTGGGCTGAGAAGGGTTTTGGTGACGCGTGGGGACCGGGTGGTTGTGGTCAGAGGTGTACGTGATGATGAGCTGCCCGGGCTCCGCTCGGTTGCGCTCGACTTGTTTCCTCGCTGGGCAGCCTCTGTAGCTGCTGCATCTGTAGTATCCCCTGTTTTGATTTTGGAGGGAAATTTCACATTACTAATGAAGATGGACAATTTTGTGATGAAGAATTTATTAATTTTATTTATCTGATACATCCCTTTTGACAAACACAAACTCTACACTATTTTTCTGCTCACAAGCGAGGTGTTCTGACTTTGCATCGCGAGACTATTGGATAGTGTATTAGCATGATCATAGTGCTTGTAATGAAGCACTTTCGTTGGATTGGAAAAGTGGGCAGCTATGTCGTCTGGATATGATGAAGAAAAGAATATAAGAGAAAACCTTGTGCTTTTTATATAGGAAAATGATAGGGGCACACTCCCAACCATAACCTCAACCACACATCCTCCCTCATTTGTTACAGTGCACCAGGTCTCACATAGGATTTTAAATTTTTAAAATCCCATATAAGGCCCAGTGCAATGTAATAAATGAGAGAGAGAGAGGGGGTGTGGTTAAAGTTGTGATTTGGGTGTGCCCCTAGTGCCACCCTTTTATATACTCTCTAAAGTATATATTTACTTTTCCTCTTTTTGTTATGCATATATGCTTCGGGACAGTGACTAAACACTCATTTGTGATCGCTAATATAAATATTTTATTGTTATATATAATTGGTTGCAATTCAGAATTAAACCACAAATAAAATTTTCCCAATTCTCCCCCACCAAAGCAGTTTCCCCCAATTTAATTCAATAAAATTTAGAAAAAGAAATTCCATAAAAAAGGTTTAAAGAAAACATAAGAATACGGGAGTTACCTTGGATAAGGGGAGCCTTTGATGGGCTTTTGCCCGTACTTCCTCCAGGCCCAAATATCTGACGACACTCCATCAGCTGGAACTTGACATACCACTTTCTTGACATTCTTCTTCCTGGAACAATTCAAATAAAAATCCATATAAATTTCAAAACCCAATAATACAAATTATCGCGTCAAAAAATTTAGCAAAAAAATAAAAATGAACAATGGGTCTACCTTCTTTTGCTCCGAGGTGGCTGTGCCGCCGTCGCCGGCGACCTCTGAGGCTTCTTTGGAGCTCCAACAGCGGGGCCCACACGCAGAGAAGTGTTTTTCAAGAGAAAGGGAGTGTAGAGATCTTCTAAGCCCCCAAAAAAACTACTATTTGCAAAAACATCAGAAGGAAAATTTGCAAAAATCTCATTTCCTCTTTCATCTCCTCTTGAAAATGGGTTTTCTTTCGCCGACGGTGGCTCCGCCGCCGGGATTTTGCCCTGGAGCAGCAGCCTCTGACCACGCGCCGACAGATCCCAGTCGTCGACAGCGTCCATCGGGAGATCTCAAGAAGAGAGAGAGAGAGAGCCGCTGACTTATTTTAGAGAGAGAGAAGAGAGAGAGAGACGAGAGGAGAGGATTAAGAAGGAGAAAGAGAGAATAGGTGAGGGGCATATAACGAAAAGGTAAAGATGCTAGGAAAACCGGGGTGGTTTTCGAAAACTGCTATCTGTACCATCTCTTTGACATTGGAAATATGTCAAAGGAGTGAGAGAGAGAAAAAGGTCAAGAGGACAGCTGCCAGTTCTCTCTCTTCTGACTTCAAAAACTTTTAATATTTTTTTAATTAATGGAAGTCTTCTGTACCCACCCACTTGCACGCGCTTTTGGGGAATGCAACCGGCTTTGGTAATGGCGTTGTATATGGAGACAAGTATAATCTCTTTATAAGTAAAGTTAAGCTCCAAATTTAATATTTGGTAAAATTAAAATGCTTCCTATATAAAATCATACAAAAAAAGTTTATGCCTGTCTTAACATCAACTTAAAAATAGATATTTTAACGTACTCTTAAACCGTTTGTAATTGTCTAGGGAGCGATTTGATAACCGGAGTGTTTTTCTTGGTTCTGTTTCTTTTTTTTCAAAAAATCAATAAAACATGTTCGACAACTAGAGTGTTTTTTTTGAGCTGACCATATACAAAACCCAATAAATCTAACGCTTATCTCAAAACACCTTTTATTTATCTCAAAACACCTTCCCGTGGCTTATTTATCCCCTAAACCAACCCGATCATCTTTCTCTCCCTCAACTCTATCCGAAATTCGCTTTATGCCCGACCCGCTTGCCCAGGCTACCGCACGTGCGATCCGCCGCCCCCGACTCGCTCGGCCCAGCCACGACACCCCCCTTCCCCTCCCTAACCCGTAACACTGAAATTACACCGAAATCGCCGCCCATGACCCGTCGTCCATCCTCCGGCCCGTCGATCGTCGCCCCCGACCTGTCGCCCAGCCACCGATAAATATATTGGTCTTCCCCTGAAAATTTAGGAGGTAAATTTTTTTATCTTTTCAATAAACAATATACTATACACTTCATAAAAGATTTTACTTTTTCACTTGATGGGTTTGAATTTTTGCTAATCATCTATGTCCATGTAGATTGTTTGAGTTTTTCTAAGCTGGTTTTGTTTGTGGATTTGTCTATACAATTTTTGGTCAATAATTTGTTTGAGTTTGTGAAGGAATAATTCTTATGTTTTGGTTCTAGAGTTGCCACTTGTGTATGCGTTTAGTTCGTGAGTAAACATATCAACATGAAATTTTACTGTATTTCTTACAAACTACGAAAACAAGAAAAATCAGATGGAGATTTTAACTATTTTTCATGCAATTATTGTTATTGTTTTTTTGGAACATAGGATTCTATTTCTTCGTAATTTTAGAAGTTACATAGTATGAGGTTTCATTCTATTGCTCTAATATTTGTCATAGAATTATAATTTCTATATTTTGTTGTTAATTTTAGAGTAAACATGGCATATCGAAATTTCATGTATAATGTTCCTTGAATTACATGAAAGAGAAAACTCATAAGGAGATTCTTACTTGGATAAAATATGTAACTAGGTAGCTGCTGCTTCTAGGATTTAATTTTTTTCAATAACTTTTAGAATTTATATCCAATATGATCTAATTTCAATTGTTGACTTTTTAATGTGCAAGTTATATATACATGCATCCAATCAAATTAAAAAAAATGCTTATGCTCTATTTGTATGGCTTGTGCTTTATTTGATTCTAGTTATACTCTCTTATTTGATTAGCCTTTTTAGTTTCATGTTGTTGTGAATGTAATAGATGTCAAGTGAAAATCATGATGTTAACGAAGTGGTGGAGATTTCCCCTTCACAAGGATATGTTTTTTGGTCTGAAAATGTGGAGTTTTATTTCATAGACTTAATGGAGGAAGAAGTGAAAAAGAGAAATAGGCATACAACTATATTTACTAGATCCTCTTTGTTTGCGGTGAAAGTTGTTGGCCTTCTTGTTTTGATGATGATTTATAAATAATTTACTACTAATGTTGTTTGTCTAGTGTTTGTGCATTCCTATGTATTGTAGACAAACAACGTTGTTGGAGGTTGGATGGATTAAGCATACACGATCATATCAAGAGGAGGTTGGCGGAATTGTGGAGTGAAGCATCGTACAATTCAAGTTCAAGATCCAAGTTTAACTTCATCCGCAACGTGTACCAAGTTAAGCTCAATGAAGATCAAAATCAAGCTTGGGTAATTTAGTTTAGGATTTATATTATGTGTGTTTAATACATTAAGCTTAATATCTATACACACACATTTATTGGTTTCTCGTATATATATATAGTTATATATATATACATAAGTTTTGGTTTCTATGCATATATATAGTTATATATATACATACATAGTTTTTGAGTTTTCATGTTTATAATATGAAATCACATATCTCATATTTACTATTGTGTTTTTGAAAATATTGCATAGAATATGCAATTTTGTAACATTATTGTATTCTTAGTTTGTAGACTTGAATATTAGTTTATACATGTTTTACTAAGTCTATAAAAATATTTCACAAAGTTTCAAAAGTTGGTTTATGTCAAAACATCAAAATTCAAGTATCTCATATTTTCATGTTTTGGACTATTTTGTAAAATGATGATATTTTTCATTTGGAAAGTCCTTTTTCGAAACCAGTCATTGTAGCATGTTTATTATCATGTCTACAATCATTCCCCAAAGTTTTACATTTTTTGGAATTTGTTTGATATTTTTAAACAGTGTTTTAAATTCAGTAAAACAGCTTTCAGAACCAGTTTTCTGTTATATAAGTTTTCGGTCGACCGCACCAGTCGACCGCTCGTTTATTCTTTCGTCAGCATGGTCCAGAGAGTTGGTCGGTCGACCGATGCGGTCGACCGAGAGCTCCATCGGTCGACCGCACCGGTCGACCGACGATGGTCCAGAACAGTCCTTCATGTTTTTGCTCTCCGTCGGTCGACCGACAGAATTTTCGGTCGACCGACAATAGATCCGTTGGCTTCCAATGGCTATTTCTCTGAGCTGTTTGCTGGGGCTATTTTTATCTTTTGTTAGAGGTTTTGGCTGAGATTTAGAGTGAGTATAAATACCCTATTGCTGTTTTCCTTCAACTTAACCAAGAGAATTGTTTAAACAAGTTTAAGGGTGTTTTATGTTTGTTTAAAAGAGTGTTTAAGAGTTTTGTTTGTGAAGCAAATTTCACAAGAGCAAGTGGAGATCATCCTTTGGTGTTTGAGCATTCCCTCTTCTCCCCTCTCTTGTCATCTATAGAGAAGTTTCCTTAAACTCAATTCTAGCATTTTATAAGTTTGTTCTTAATTTCATAAGCTAGATTTCATATTGAGTTTATATTGTTTTATCTCTTTGTTCACACACAACCTATTGAGCTTATTGTATTTACATTCATAGTATAATTTAGGGTTGTGGGTTTGTGACATTGAGAGTGAGCTTAATTGAGTTCTCACCTTGTTAGAGAGAACAATCATTTGTCATATTGTGCCTAATTGTGAGGATTCACTTGTAATACACTTGTACACCGAGAGAAGTGTGTGGTGAGAGACGGGGTCGAATCCAAGAGGAGTGGCGTCGGTTGACGTGCCTAGGGAGAGGTTGTAACCGAGCACTTGAGGAGGAGGACACGGGCTAGGACCAACACTTAGTGTGTGAGGTGTGATTGCATAGTGATTGTATTGTAAGGTGTAAACATTGTTCGGGTGAACGTAGAAAACCCGGTTGAGATAGTGGAGATTTCCTCGAGGTGAGGAGCGGAGACGTAGGTCATGGGGACCGAACTCCGTAATCATATTGTTTGTTTGTGATTGCATTGGCGCACTCTTTTATGTTCATATCTTATATCGCCTTTTTGATTATATTGCTCATTATATTGCCCTCCATCTAGTTTAGAGTATTTACCCTTGTGTTAGTTTTATATCCTTGCACATACATTGTCTATATCTCTTTGTTAGGATATATCTTATTGTTTATATATCCTTGCATATATTTCTATCATATAGGATATATCACCTTGTGTACATTACATATTCTTGCACATAACTCTTTATATATCTATCTTGCAAGAATATATTTGTTAAGTAATTTTAATTGGCATTTAATCGGATTAGATTAGCATAAGACCCTAATCACCCCCCCTCTAGGGTCTAACAATTGGTATCAGAGCTTGGTGCTCTTTGATTTAAGGTCTAATCGCCTTGAGTTAAAGATCCAAGTTATATTTTTTCTAGATTTAACATATTTGTTAGATCTAAACAATCCGATTTATGGGAAGTTATTGAAGATGCTTATATTATACCCACTTCGAAAAAATCCAAGTGGAGTAGCAATGATAAAAGAATGTTTAATATGAACAAGCTTTTGTTAGAATATTTGCTTAATGCCTTTGACTCATCCTTTTCTAACAAATTTGTTCATTTTGATAGTGCTTACAATTTATGGAAATTCATAGAAGCACATCAAGGCAACTTAGAGGAAATCCAACGTAGCTTGGAGGATTATTCTTCAAGTGAGTGTGGAGCATCATCATGCACACGGCTACTAGGCGATAGCACTAGTGTGGTAAGTGATTCGGAATTCGATAGTGATATATACATCAATGAACTCGCTTGTGCATATGATAGATTAATGCATGCCTATACTAAGTTGCATAATAATTTTATAGATTTGAAAAGCAAGCATGTTAATTTGAAATCCGATCATGAGTTGCTAGGTTCCAAATTTGATATCATTGCAAAAAAAAAATATTGTGCTTAAAGAAAACAATGACTTATTAAATTTGGAAAATAAAAAATTGACCTCATCCATTTCTAGCTTATCTCATGCTAAGAACAATGCCATATTAGAAGTAGAGAACATTAGAAATGAGTTTAATTCTTTTACAAATGATCATATATGTTCTACTTCTAATGCTAATGCATATGTGCCTAATGATGAGTTGAATAATATTAAAAATAGAATATCATCTTTAGACTCAACTCTTAAATCATG